GACGTCACAGAACTGCAGGCTACGCTGTAAGGTGTGGCTGAGGGTTTTAAAATAAATGAGAAATTTGTTGTGGAGAATTCATCAAGAATATCCATTTTCTTTGTCTCTGTGTGTGGGGGGGGTGCAGGCACCTGTGTGCACAGGCGTGCGGAGGCCAGAGGACAATGCCTTGCGGGCATGCAGTTGCCAATCTCCTTGTTTTTTGAGACAAAGCTCCTCACTGGCCTAGAATTCCCAATGTGGGTTAGACTGGCCATCAAACTCAGGGCCTCCTGCTTCTGTAGCAAGTACTTTACTGACCGAGCTATCTTCCCAGCCGAAGAACATCACTTTTTAAATAGTAAAATAGGAAGACTTCAAGGAACAGATAGCTTTCCATGGTTTCTCATTTCCCGTGGTTTCTAGACCAAACCTGTTAGCAATTTTAGTGGAAGCATGCTACTAATTCAATAACCAGTTGCCTAAATAGGTTGACTTCCAATGCTTTATTTTCTAGAAGGTACAGGCATCTGCAGTTGGTGAAGGTGTGGGTGAGAATACAGGCTTTTAGGTAGATTCACCTAGAAAGAGTTGATAGGAATTGAGAAGAATGTGAAACCCCCTAAGAGCTGGAATAATAGCTTCCCCCAGCCCTGTGGCAAGAGCTGAGGGCAGCATGACAGAAAGGCACAGTCTCAGAAGTGTGGCCATGCTCTATGTGGACGTTCACACATGTATCTGTGAGGGACAGAGGCCTACCTTGAGTGCCTTCCTAATCTCTCTCCAGCTAATTTTGGAGACAGCTTCCCACTGAAGCTGAAGCTTGCAGATTCCAGCACACTGGCTACCCCGCACACCCCCGGGGTCCTCCTGTCTCTGTCTCCCCAGATGCAGGCACATGCTGCTACTGTCTGGCTTTTGATGTGGTGCCGGGGATCAGAACACAGGTCCTCCCTCATGCTTGCAGATTTCTGACTGAGCCATCTCCACAGCCCAGGAAATGTTGTTTTTGTTTTTTTTTAATATTTTATTTATTATTTTAAATTTATGTTTATGCATGTATTGCCTGCTTGTGGGTAAGTGCACCTGTGTCATACAATGCCCACAGAAGACAGAAGAGGCTGTCAGATCCCCTGGAACTGGAGTTACGGACAGTTGTTAGCTGCCATGTGGGTGCTGGGATTCGAACCCAGGTCTTTTACAAGAACAACTAGTGTTCTTAACCACTGAGCCATCTCTCCAGTCCTGAAATAGGCTTTTAAACATACCTTCTTTTTTTCCTGAATAGGCGAAAATATGCCTTAGACTGTTTCGTGTTGCTAATAGCATAACGCCACAGGTGGGCACATTTCTTAAAAATGTTTAATTGGTTCATAGCTCTGGAAGTCCAAGGCCAGCTGGAAATCTTGTTGGTAAAGCGCCAAGGCAGTGAACTGCAGTGCAGAGCAGAAGACAGAACAATGCAGGTGCATCTCCACCAGGCTGGCCCTCTCCTTCTAGGCCCCAAAGTGGCCATCACTGTGGCTCCACTCTGATGACATCATCTAATCTCAAGCATGTCTCTATGACTCCTACCCTAAACACTGCTGTTTGAACCATGGTTGCAGCTGCTGTGGAGGGCTTTGTTGACTGAATGCAGGGAAACAAACTCAAGGTGCCAGGGCAGTGAGCCCAGGAGGTACCAGGATTGGTCTCTGAAACTGCTCCACCCCAGCGGGCACCTATGCCCATGGCAGGCCCTAACTTCAAGTAGCCAATGTGACCCATGCCACGGCCTAAAGGCTTTGTTTTGAAATCTCCTCTGACAAATATCCTAGCGCATCCCCTTTTAGTTCATCTTTCCACAAGTGTTGGGCAGTCTAATCACTGTTATTTGCAACTGCATAAAGACCTTCATCCACCTCCAGCAGGTGTCTCCTCTCCAACTCAGACTACTTCCATAACCTCATCTTCCAAGACCTCAGCAAGATCACCCCCAGAGCTCACTGTTCTAGTTACTGTCTATTCCTGTGATAAATTTGCCGACCAAAACCAACTTGGGGATGAAAGGGTTTATTCGGCTTACAGCTCACAGTCAATCAAGGAAAGCCTAAGCAGGATCTCAGGGACCTGACACAGGCCATGAAGAAATGCTGCTTACTGGCTTGCTCCTCTGGCCCCTGCTCAGCCCGATTTCTTATACAGAACAACAGGACTACCTGCCCAGGGGTGGCAATGCCCACATGGTGGGCTGGGTCCTCCCACATCACTCAACAATCAAAAAATGCCCCACAGACATGGCCACAGGCCAGTCCGATGGAGAAAATCCCTCAACTGGGGTTCCCTCCACCCAGGTGTGTCACACTGACAACTGACACACCCAGCACACTTTGGTTTTCCTTCCCTGCTCCTTTGAATTTCTTCCAGCCTCAGCCCATTACCCTGCTACAAAGTCTTTTCCAAGCTTACGGGTGCTTGTCAGCTCCTAGAAATCCCCTCCATGCCTGGTATCAACTTTGTCTTAAGTCCTGTTTTCTGTTACTAGAAACACAATATCACAGGAAGAAAGGATTTTTAAGGAAGAAAGATTGATCTGGGATCAGAGATGAGACACTCAAGCTGAGTGGTAACACCTGACAACAGCTTTATTTCCGGTAAAGTCCTGAGGCAGGGCACTGCAAAGCAAGAAACACCGGTCTACGTGTGAGTCCTCTGGTTTTTCTCCTCCTCCCCATCTCCCTCCTCCTTTTCTTCTTCCCTCCGCCTTCTTTTGCCCCTACATCCCATCAAGGAACTGCACCTTGATAATCTTCTCTAATCTGTCTCCCCAAATCCCTACCTCTTAACACCATGTAGTGGGCAATGGAGATTAAAGTCCAGCATGAGTTTTGGAGGGGACAAACCACAGCAGGGGGTGCTTATTTTTCAGGATTGATAATGTTATCAGTTAAGAACTACTCTTTGTATAGCAAATGTTCTGGAAAAAAAAATCAACACTCAATTCAAAATGTGGTGGCAGAAAAATCAGTAGGTGACAAGAAACGAAAAGGGAGGATGCTGTCAACTTGGGGTCCCAGAAAAAAGTGGGATCCTGGAGGGCAAAGCAGGATTTCCACACGTGCAGGCAGAAGGCAGGGTGTTCCAGGAGAGGAGACACTGCAGAGTATGAAGGCAGCAGGACAGCAGCGAGCGTCCCAGGGTCCCCAGATGGTATGTGCACTATGGTTTTGCAAGAGTGCAGCCTCTTCCACTGAGGTCCTTTGAAAACAAACAAGGAAACAATCTCACGCATAAGTCTGTGTGGATCAGTAGCCAGAACTGGACGGATGTCAGGGTCTGCATCTGGCTCCCATTCTCTAATGAATCACTGGTATGCTCGCCAAGGTACACTGCTCTCTCTTGCATCTGCGTAGTCCCTCCCTTTAGCTAATGGAACATTGAAGCAATCATCCCTAAGTAATGGGATTGCCACAGAAATCACATGTAGGGAGGAGAGGGGCAGCCAGAGGGGTAGGGGGTCTTTGGAGACATTTCACACAATTCTGACGTGTCAGGTCATCTAGTAGGAGAGATTGGTGCTAAGATAGTGTTCATGATGAGCAGGACCACACCTTGACCAAGACTGCCCAGTTCTGCACGCCTCTTCTCCTCTATTTAAACCTAAGCCTCATGTCAGGAACCTGAAAGTGTGTGTGTGACTGGTTCTCGTTTTCTTCCTAATGAAGCCACGTTGAATACGTATTTTTCTGCTTTTCGGTATCAATTCGGTCTTTAATTGTTTAATTGAGGATGAGTGGAGGATCCAGGCACAGGCTCGGCTCTTAAAGCCCAGGCTTTACTTTTCACCTTATTCTGTCCACCTGATTCTGAGGAGATCTAGACCTTCGCAGGCTGTGCCTGGTATCCGCCAACCTCCCGGGCGTGCAAACGACTATGGTAAGCCACCTGACTCTGACGCTCTCGTCCCTCAACTGCAGTGAGGCCTGAGTTAGGGGGAGGGTATGAGAGTTGGAAAAGAAAACCCAGAGATGATTCAGATTGGTTTTGTCTTGCTTCCTGAAGCAGTTGCATTTTCATCTTGTTAGGGAAAGAAAGGCGTGGTCCGAACGCCCACTGAACACACGCAGCAGTATCCTGGAAGGCTCAGAAATTGGGACTTTGTAGCTGGAAGAAGGGTCGCCGGCAGAGGCTTCGGAGTAGCTAGGATTACAACAAAGGAAGGCAACCCTGGAGGCGGGGCATACAGTATTCAGAGATGCGACAGGTCTCGTGCCCCCCCCCCCCCCCAGCACCGCAGGCCACGCTCCCGGGGTGGAACCGGGTAGAAGAGGGCGGTCCGGAGGCACCGGTGGCAGAACAGGGCCAGAAGCCGCGCCTGCCCCCACCCCGGCCCCCCCACCGCGCGGCACGCCGGGAGTTGTGGTTCTCCGCAGCTCCAGGCCCGCGAGGCCCACGGACAGCGCGGCGGCTGCGGAGGTAACCCGCGTACTTGCCTGCCCCGCACGGGGTCCTCCCTCGGCAGCCGGCGCGCGGTGACGTCACACGGCCCCGCCCGCTCCGTGGGCTCGCGGTCCGCGGGGTTAGGTGTCCACGCCGGGCCGGTACTGCGGCCGGCCGGCAGGAGACAGCGGCCTACCCCGGGGAACGTCACGTCCTCCGCCTCTCTCTCGCCGGCCTCCGCCCCGCCGTGGCCCTCCGCGCTGGGCCGTCGCGCTCGGCCTCGCGCTCAGGCGGCGCCGCAGACAGCCCTACGCGGGGCGGAGGCCGGGCGGGGCGGGGTCCTG